AGCAGGCGCGGCTTCCAGGCTAGCTATCCCTTTCAGGCTGCCAGATCAGGCTGGGCTTCCGAGAACCTGCCAGAGCCTTTTTCATATTTAATGTCTCAACCCCTTTGTCTGAAAGCTCTTTGAGTAATCCAAGCAGCTAGCCTGGAGGCAGGCACGCCTCACATGCTGTGGTTCAATTAAATCATCTTCCCACACCACCCATTCTCCAATATTGCAGGGCTGGAAGAAGTGAAAGAGGAGGAGCAGACGTGAGGTCTTAGGTCTTTCTTGGCAGTTCCTTCCTTAATCTGGAGATCTCTTGACCTGGGGATAGAAAATCCAAGGATATTTGGCAGCCCAGGAGATGGGCCCCGCTCATGAAGTTTCTCTAACTTTCCCCTCTTCTTCTTTCCAAAGGTTGGGCAGGCAATCTTGGACACATTCTGGAGGAAGCTTTTCAAAGAAAGAACTGGAATTTCCATTCTCCTTGATGCTACAGGCTATTCCCCTACTTAGACCCATTTCCAAACAGAGCATTAAATTAAATCAATTGCATGTTCTATAAGGGTTAACTGCAGTAATATTTACCTATTTTTAAAAATTTCGGGGGCCAGTGCTGTGGTGTAGCGGGTAAAGCTGCTGCCTGCAGTGCCAACATCCCATATGGGCTCTGATTCAAGTCCCAGCTGCTCCACTTCTGATCCAGCTCTCTGCTATGGCTTGGGAAAGCAGTAGAAGATGGCCCAAGTCCTTGGGTTCCTGCATCTGCGTGGGAAACCTGGAAGAAGCTCCTGGGTCCTGGCCGGACAGGCACAACTCCAGCCATTGTGGCCAACTGGGGAGTGAACCAGCGGATGGAAGAACAAATTCTCTCTGCCTCTCCTTTTCTCTCTGTGAAACTCTGACTCTCAAGTAAATAAATAAATCTTTAAAGAAAAATTTCATTTACTTATCTGAAAGGCAGAGTTACAAAGAGAGGGAGAGACAGTGAGAGACTGTCCATTGGCTGGTTCACTCCTCAAATGGCCATTACAGCCAGGGCTGTGCCAGGAAGAAGCCAGGAGCCAGGAACTCCATCCAGGTCTCCTACAAGGGTGGTAGAGGTCCAGCACTTGGACCATTTCCTGTTGCTTTCTCACGTGCATTAGCAGGCGGCTGGATGGGAAGTGGGGCAGCCAGGGATGCTGCTGTCCCAGGCTGCTCCTTAACTTGCTGAGCCACAATGCTGGCCCGTGTGTGTGTGCGTGTGTGTGTGTGTGTGTGTGTGTATGTGTGTGTATTTCTGGAAAGCAACTAGAGAAGACATTGGTGTTCCACTGCACCATCTCTAAATGTTTTAATTTAAAACCTACCAACATAATTGGAAAACTTAATACAGTTGTTAATTCTTCCCAAACTGCTATATAGATTTAAGGCAATACCAATCAAAATCCCAGAAGTCTGCATAAACCAAGAAGTTGGGGGCTGATTCAGCAGTGGCCGCTCCACTTAGGATCCAGCTCCCTTCTAATGTGCCTGAGAAAGCAGCAGCAGATGGGCTGCTGCCATCCACATGGGAGATCCAATGGAGTTCTGGGCTCCTGGTCTAGAACTGACCCAACCCTGGTCATTGAGGCTATTTGGGGAGTGAACTAGCAGACAGAAGATCTGTGTGTCTTTTTCTCTTCCTCCAATTCCTCTTGACCCTGTAACTCGGCCTTATAAAATACATTTTTAGAAAGGAAAAAAAAAAACAAAAACTGATTCTAAAGTTTTTTATAGAAAGACAAAAGGAACTAGAATACCTTAAACAATTCTGAAAGGGGCCAGCACCATGGCTCACTTGGTTAATCCTCCGCCTACAGCACCGGCATCCAATATGGGGGCCAGGTTCTAGTCCTGGTTGCCCCTCTTCCAGTCCGGATCTCTGCTGTGGCCCAGGAAGGCAGTGGAGGATGGCCCAAGTGCTTGGGCCCCTGCACCCGCATGGGAGACCAGGAAGAAGCACCTGGCTCCTGGCTTCAGATCGGAGCAGCTCTGGCCGTGGCAGCCATTTGAGGAATGAACCAACAGAAGGAAGACCTTTCTCTCTGTCTCTATAACTCACTAACTCTGTCAAAAAAAAAAAAAAATCTGAAAAAGAAAAACAAAGTTATAAAGTCAAGTCAATGGAGAAAGGACAGTCTTTTCACCAAACAGTGCTGAAACTGGACATCCATGGCCAGCGCCGCAGCTCACTAGGCTAATCCTCCACCTGCGGCGCCGGCACACCGGGTTCTAGTCCCGGTCAGGGTGCCAGATTCTGTCCCAGTTGCTCCTCTTCCAGGCCAGCTCTCTGCTGTGGCCCGGGAAGGCAGTGGAGGATGGCCCAAGTGCTTGGGCCCTGCACCCATATGGGAGACCAGAGGAAGCACCTGGCTCCTGGCTTCGGATCAGAGCGGTGCATCGGCTGCAGCGTGCCAGCCACAGCGGCCATTGGGGGGGTGAACCAATGGAAAAAGAAGACCTTTCTCTCTGTCTCTCTCACTGTCCACTCTGCCTGTACCAAAAAAAAAAAAAAAAAGAAACTGGACATCCATATGCAAAAAAAAAAAAAAAAAGGAAAGAAAAATAAATAAATCTTTATACATACTCACACTATTAGCTCACAATGGATCATAGATCTCTATATAAAACCTACAGCTAAAAGATTGCTAGACCACAGGAATAAACTATTTGTGACCTTACCCACTAAATAAAAAGAATAAATTGAACATGAAGATTAAGAACCTAGGACTGGCACTGTGGCTTAGCAAGTTAAGCAGCTGTCTGCAGTGTTGCATTCCATGTGGGCACTGGTTCAAATCTCAGCTGCTCCACTTCTGATCCAGTTCCCTGCTAATGTGTCTGGGAAAGCAGCGGAAGATGGCCCAACGGTTTGGAACCCTGCACTCATGTGGGAGACCAGGGAATGGACGATCTCTGTCTCTCCCTCTCTCTGTAGTTCTGGTTTTCAAATAAATAAATCTTATTCTTTTTTTTTTTTTTTTTTTTAAGAACCTGTAAGGGGGCCAGCGCCGCGGCTCACTAGGCTAATCCTCCACCTTGTGGCACCAGCACACCGGGTTCTAGTCCCGGTTGCCCCTCTTCCAGGCCACCTCTCTGCTGTGGCCAGGGAGTGCAGTGGAGGATGGCCCAAGTACTTGGGTCCTGCACCCCATGGGAGACCAGGAAAAGCACCTGGCTCCTGCCTTCGGATCAGCGCGGTGCGCCGGCCGCAGTGCACCGGCTGCGGTGGCCATTGGAGGGTGAACCAATGGCAAAAGGAAGACCTTTCTCTCTGTCTCTCTCTCACTGTCCACTCTGCCTGTCCAAAAAAAAAAAAAAAAAAAAAAAAAAAAGAACCTGTAAGGAACTAAAAGGGAATAAAAAGACAAGTCACAGAGTAGGAGAAAATCACATATCTGAAAAGAACTTGTGTCCAAAATATACAAAGAATTCAAGATTCAACAATAAGAAAATAAATAATCCAATAAAAAATAAGCCAAAGATCTGAACAGACACTTCATTAGATATTAGAAAGGAATATATATATGAACAATTACTATGTGTCTATTAAAATATAATTTTTAAAGAATATTTTAAAATATATAATGATGGCAAATAATCATATAGATGTTCAACACCACTATTCATTAAAGAAAAGCAAATTATAAACCCATAATGAGATCAGATAAGGAACAGATAAGCTGTAGTATATCCATACAAAGGACTATTACTCAGCAATGAAAAGAAATAAATTGTTGAAATACTCAACAAGGATGAATTTCAAATTTATTATGCTAAGTGGAAGGGGCCAGACTCAAAAAGGTATGTACTATACGATTCTGTTTATATGGCATATTCTGGAAAAGGCAAAGTCACCAGGACAGATTGGAGCAGTGGCTACCAGGGACAAGAGAGGGGAAAAAAGGGCTGATGACAAAGGCCATGGGAAATTTCCCCTATGATCAAACTGCTCTACATTTTGATTGTGATGGCAGTTATACAGTAGTATGTCAAAACTCACAGAACTCTACGCAAAAAGCATGAATTTTACTCTATCAAATTAAAACTTTTTTAAAAAGCTCTAAGTGGAAACCATAAAATACCAAACCAAATCAAAAACTACTATGAAAATGACCACAAAGTTTCTGCATGCCAGAAAAGAAAACCTTTTAAGCAGAACCATTACAAACAAGGTCTACGATGTCACATTCATATGAACACATCTCTTTGCCACCCCCTACCCTCTGACGTGTCTAACAAAGGGCTTTTTAAAGGAAACCATCTCATCCCCTGATCATACCTGAGCCATAGACTGTCTAGGATTCCAAGGAGGCACTAAAAGTCCACAACCCAGCTAGTAACATCGCAGTGGGACCTGCAGTGCCCTCTGGTTCTTCCACGGGCAGTGGGGCTGACATAAATCCTGCAGCAGTGCACACTTACCTCTGCTGTGACTGCCTTTACATCAGCAGGCTGGATCTCAGTCCTGCAGCAATCACCTCCTCACTGAGGAAACTGACTTTTGCAGAGGCCGGGAAAGTAGGCCAAGGCGACCAGGCACTCTAGTTACAGGGTGGCAGCCAATCACGGGCCCCTCCCTAGGAGTGGATCGCTCTGAGGTCAGGACTCAAAAGCAGAGTCTGTGCCGTCAGCCTGAACCCAAAGGGACTGACTTGCTGAACTTGTTTTTCCACAGCACTAACTTTAGGGTTTATGATTGGAGACCCTACGTCAGTCTCCGCAGTCTCTCCCCTCCCCAGTTATCACTTACTCTGGCCTAACCTTTCCTTTACTTCACAAGCTGAATGGCATTGCCATCCAACCCAACCCAGGGCATAGAGTCCACATATCAAAAATCAAAGACCATAATGCATACTCCCACTTCCCCAGACTGCCATGAAGCCCGAAGTCCCCAGCCCAAAGAGTACTGCAGCCACATCATCTTCCCCTTCCAACCAAGAGGACAAATTTTAAAAACCCCTTTGGGGGCGTCTTCCCGGGTGTGCAGGCTGTACCTTTTACTTTACTCTCCACTGCCACCGGCTTCTTTGTTTCCGCTGTTAACAACAGCTCATACGGGTGCTCATCCTCTTCCCTGGCTCCACTCCCCTGAATCCTAGGTCTCGCGGCCAAGACCTAAGAAAGAGAAACAGCCAGTACTTCTTGTGCACATGGCTAAATACCAATTCAGGGGTGTTGAACAAATGTGAAGTTACTGGCTCCTTTTTCACTAAGAGGAAGGGAGGAGGGGAAAAGAAGGTAACTCAAGTGTCACATGGATTCACAACTGCTCTCCCGTACCTCACATCTCAACAACCTTTTATTGAAATGCTCCCCTTTCCTTATGTTGTTTTATCCCTTAAAAATGATAAATTAAGGGCCAGTGTTGTGGCATGGTGGGTAAAGCTGCCAACTGGGATGCTGGCATCCCATATGGACTCCAGTTCTAGTCCCAGCTCCCCCACTTCCAACCAGCTTCCTGCTGACGGCCTAGGAAAATCAACAGACGATGGCCCAAGTGCTTGGGCCCCTGACATCCACATGGGAGACTCGGAATAAGTTCTTGGCTCTTGGCTTCAGCCTGGCTCAACCCCGGGCCAAGCCCCAGTCATTGCAGCCATCTGGGGAACAGAGCAGTGGATGGAAGATCTCTCTCGCTCGCTTGTGCGCGCGCTCTCTCTCTCTCTCTCTCCCTCTCTCTGACTTTCAAATAAATAGATAAGTCTTTTTTAAAAAAGATAAATTCCAAAATCCTTCCTCCCCTTGCCCCTCCCACCTCCACAATGTTCTGCACGATCTCTTTCCTGGTGATATTTCCTAAGTGGCTTTTGGCCATGGTGCATCATAAAAGCCATTCCTCTCCATGTTTCTTTCTTAACACTATACAAAGGCTGGAATTCTTCCCACCTGCTTAAGAGGGAACCAAAAATGAGTTCTGACCAACTCTCAACACTTGACATTTATTAGAAACAAAATGTCCTGCCTCATGGACTGTCTTTCTTCTCAGGTCCTGGAAGGAAGGGTTTTCCTATATCTGGCTTCTGAACACATTGATGAGTATGATAACACAATTTTAATCACTTCTACCAGTCTCTGCTAGGAACAGTCAAGTGGACAGGAAGTATGAATGAATTTCAGTGGAGGAAGTCTACTGAGAAATCCCTAACCCAGGCAGTCAAGTGTGTCTGATGCAGTAACTGAATTAGAGCTGGCTCCTGCACCTGCCAACTGTGAGGCTTTGGTCAGCTGAGGGCCGGGTGGCCACAACGAGTCATGGCACCACAGCAGCCAAGCTTTCCCTCAGACCAAGCCAGAAATGCCATGACTAGTGTGCTCCAACCACAGTGGGAGAGAGAACAAGAGATCTTGGCTTTGAAGGATGATTCTGGCGCATCTGTCTGAAGAACCTGGTATGTTTTACAGGCAAATTAAGAATAATCACTACAAGGGTAAGCACACACACAGAATCTCTGCTTGAGCAGTTTGGTCAGGACAACTGATGTATTATAAACAAGCATGTGGGGGGAATTCCTAACTCCGCCTGACAAATAATGATACCCTTCAAATGTGATTCCTCGGCACTCACAGAAACCTCCTCCTACACTGACACGGCCCACAGATCACTGGGAAAGCGTCAAGTGTGTGATCCATCAGAATTTTGCTTCTTCGAGGCACAGCTAACTGTGCTATGGCCTAATGAGAGAAGGACTCCAGCAGTCTTAGACTACTCGAGAAACAGCAGCTCCTGTCTGTTAACAAGGCTGCCACTCTAAAGGCAAAATGATAATCTCTTTCCAAAATTCTGCTAAGCATTGCAGGAGCCTTCACTCACTGCAAGCCACCTGGAAACTGAAAGCTATTTCACTACCATGAGCCACTGGCCTGTATTCCTTATTCCTGGCCTCTTCCTGGGAACACAATTAAAGGAACAAAGAGGGGCCATTAAGCAGTTCCTATGGTGTCAACTTAAGGCCATGCATTTACAGACAGGAATTGTGTTCTTCAGCTTTACACACTCACATAGCTATCATTTATGCAAGTCCTGGAAATCTGCATTAGAGTTTGTTCCGATTTCTGCACACAGCAGGAGCTCCCACACAGCCCCAGGCATGCTTCCCTGAGACGGAAGGGACAGCCTAGATGCATGGCCTGAAGTCTGACCACTTAAATCTGGAAAAATCACTCTGTGCCTGACTCTTGTGCGGGACAACTGGAATCAGAGAGCCAGCAATAGCCAGAGCTGGAAGGCACTTTAACCCTCACAGGCAGAGCTGAGAGCACCTGGCTCCAGGCCTTTCGCTTTTAGGTGACAATCATGGCTCCCAGAGAGGTCTAGGGACTTGCTCAAGATCACACAGGGAACTCTGCACATCCATGGCCATAAAATTCAGTTCCTCTGTTTCTGGGGCAACCTGGCCTCATTTTTTTCTGGCTTTCACTTTTTCTCCATACGTTTTAGAGCTCTTTGTGTCTTTTAGATGTTTAATGAGAGTTGCCTGCTCATACCCCAACAATGAGTAGGCAGACTTTCCTCTTGGTGCTGGCCCCTACCTACTATGGGATTAAGATCTCACAATAAAGCAGTAAATCACTTTTTTTTTTCTTTTTTGCCTTCTTAGCTCCCATTCAAGAAGCCCTGTGCCACAGTGGGGATGGTAATAATTGATTTTCAACAGAAAGGCTTCTGCTGTTTACTAAATCACTTCTTAATCTTCTTTGTCCTTTCTTCCAGGGTTGGCAATAAATAAAAGCTGAAAAAATATATTTTCTGCTATGTGAGAAACAACACTTCTGCTGTAGAGAAAAACTACAGTCACTAACTGTATCTATAGCCAGTGTCTAACTGTGCTCAGTGGAATGTCCAGCTGGGGGGTGTGGGCAGCTGCACCCTCCATGAACATTTAGCACATCTGAGGAGAGAGAAGACCAGAGTCCATTCTGAGGCAGCTGGCAGCTCATTCCGTGGAGGCAAAAATATCTCAAAAGCACATGCATGTGTGTGCATATGTATCTAAAATGTTTAAAGCCAGTTTCATCATCAATCATTACTCTAAAAAGCTCTCCCAGAGCAGGTATATCCCAGCTTCCCTTAAAGGCTTCTACAGGTCATGTGATGATGAGACATCTCAGGAACAGGGGCTCGAATATTAGAAGAGACTGCTTGCCAAACACAAAAACCTAAAGTTTGATGAAGCCAGTGTCTCCTGAGATATGAGGTTTTAGGACATTAAAGCTTTCAGAGTATGGGAAACAAAGATGGTGAAGACTGCAGGGTTCAAAAAAGGTAAGTCTATTTTTTTAAAAAACACCTCCTCATTCAGACTACAGCATATGAATAAACTCTGCTTGGATTGTTAAAAGGACAGCAACCCAGAGCTGTATCTACATCCAGGTGCTTATCATCACCGGTAAATAAGCAAATTCATGTTTCTTGTGGTCTTCCAAGTACTGACTATGCTGGTCCACTTGATCCTGAATTCCAGACTATTCAGATGTCAGTTCTAGAAGATACATCTCAGAAAGATTCTTCCACCCAAGAAAGTAAATGGAGATCTCTGTCTCCCCAAATTCTTTTGAGACTGTCTTATTACCAAACTGCCTGCTTTAGAATGCCTTAGGAAAACAGAAAGTTCTAGTTATCCAGTATTTCTCAGAGCCTCGTCCTTATCCCTGGGCACTATGAACTTGAATCGAAGTTCTGTTAAACAGGTGGCACAAGGCATTTACAGGGTCCCAGCTGAACATGCTCCACATTACTAGGCTTGTCCTTGTAAAACGAACAAACAAAAAAAGTAATGAAGCAAAGCTCTACTTACATAAAATGTGCATGCACTTGCCATCTACAAGCAATCCAATTCTAGACTGTTAGTTGAGACGTGATAAGAAGTATTTTGTAATTAAGGAGTGGAAAAAAATATGAAATTTATACCTAGCATAGAAATATTTCCCTATCTCCAACACAGACTTTTATATCTTTAAAGGGGATTCCTTGTATTTACATATTTTGTTAAACTAAAGCCATTCTTTTTGTTTCCATGTGTTTACTGTGAATAAAAGAACTTGTCAGATTAGGTGGTCCATGGCAAGACTGTAAAAATTTATTAACTCTAACTTCCAAAGATATATGATATGAGATTTAGCTGATTTATATTTACTGATTTTTATTTTTTTTTAAATACCTATTTATTTGAAAGTCAGAGTTACAGAGAGAGACAAACAGACAGACACTCCCCAGATGGCCACAACGGCCAGGGCTGAGTCAAGCCAAAGCCAGAAACCAGGAGCTTCGTTCAGGTCTCCCACACATGTAGCAGGGGTCCAAGTGGCTGGGCCATCTTTTGCTGCTTTTCCCAGGCTATCAGCAGGAAGCTGGATGGGAAGTGGAGCAGCTGGAACACGAATGGGTGCCCATATGGGACGCCGGTACTGCAAGCGGCAGCTCTACCTGCTATACTACAGTGCTGGCCCCTACATACTAATTTTTAAATTAAAGAATAATAGGGCATGAAATGAGCTACAAAGTAATGATTACAAGTATGTAATATTTTGAACAGGTAGTCAATAAACATTCTCAATATGGTAAGAAGTAAAAGAGTATTCTGAAGATAAAAGATCAAGGAAAAAATAATTTTCTTCACACACCTAAGCAAGAAGCTTATTTGTCCCATGATAAAAAAAAATTTTTTTTTTTAAAAAGGCAGACTATTCCTTTCAAATGACCTCCTCTGATCTTTCTGCTCACCCATCCCACACAACTCCTATTTTCTAATGAGTCTTCACAACTCAATCCATGTTTGTGGTGGGATACAGTATGCATATGGAATGAACAGAAAATGCAAAAACAGAAATAAGACGTTTGGGGCAGAACCACCAAAGTCAATGAACAGGCCACAGTCGAGAGAACAGTGAGATACCCTACACCTTCTATCCTAAGACAACACAGGCATAAAAGCTAAAAGTGAGACTGTTCTGCTCACTGGAGCCAGGAGAAACTTTGCATGTTTTGTTTCCCACATGGTACCATTGGTCAATAATGAGCTTGTCTGCTAGAGAGGGACAGATCCGATAAAGATGTGTCAGTGTTACACACATTTATCAGTGTGGAAGGTCGTCTTCCAGATTACTGATACACACAAGTTTACAATCCAAGAAGGTGCTAAGAAAATAAGAAAGCAAAGTCTTAAAGCACAAATAATTTTCCAATAAACTCATTTCATTAATGGAAATAAACCCTCAACCCTCTACCTCAGAAGCTGTCCTGGGAAAATACTTCTTATCTCTGCGCTGCTCCTCCTCCTCCTCCTCCTCCTCCTCCTCGTCAGGTGGTGGCTTTGCTGGAGGCGGTGGACGCTCCCTCTGCAAAAAGAAAACAGAAGGTGTTCCACCGTCCACCTTTATCTTAGCCCTTGGAAATGAAGAGAATAATGTAAAGAATTCCCCTGGGAGACGACAGTTAAGGTCTAGTCTTTGAGCAGATGGAGAACCTTGCACACCACACACACACACACACAAAATTAGCATGTTCTACGGTTTTTGATGTTCATAGCAGAGATCACAAACAGCCCTTTCATACCCAAGACCCCAGTAAGAAATGCCAGCACTGAGAACATGCAACTGCCTTGTTAGAAAATGTCCTTCAAAATACTGATACATAAAATTTCAGCGTAGGAAAACCACTGGCTCAATTTTCAGTCTACTCTAAAAAGAGGAAACACTAGATCAAAAGAATCAACTTGTGAAACAGTTCTAACAAACCAAAGTTATTTGAGGAAGTAATGAGGAAAATAATCAAGGACAAAAACATGTCAATTCCTATTCAAATTTTAATGCTCTAATACCAGTCTGTGCTCATTTATTATCGAAAGTTCAAAATGTTGGTCACTTCCTTCAATAAGAAGTATTACATATCATTAGCATATGAAAACTCTATTTCATCTGCACCCATTTGAAAAAGGAAAACCTGTTTGTAAAATTTAAAAATATTTGAAAAGCTGTCTGCTCTACAGCGGGGATTGGCAAGCTTTTTCTCAAAGGGCCACATAGTGAATATTTTGGGCTCTGCCACTGCAATATAAAAGTAGCCACAGACAATACCTGTATGTAAATGAACAAGTGTGGCTGTGTTCCAATAAAACTTGGTGTGCAAAAACAGCTACTTGTGGGCTCTAGTTTGCCAACCCCTCCACTGGAGTGAGAAAATTGCTAAAGAGGCCACATCAGATCAGTCAGATCACGGTGGACAATTCCAGGAACACCCAGAATGGTCTTGGTAGAGGAAACCTAACAGATCCAAGCTGAATAGAGACCTGCCGCTGCAGCTGCAGTACCTCCGGCACATACTGTTTCCCCACAGCCCTGCCATGCTTGATCATGAGGCGTTCCTACTGAAGGGCGCAGGGGCCTGAATTGAAGTGGGCCCACAGGTTAGTTAGGTTAGTTTACCATGTTGCTCAAACAGGAGTATCTCAGAAAGCCAAGGTAGAGGCGAATACGGAGTTATGGGAGAACCTCAGAGAAATCTTCCAGGAAACCCACTTCTCATGTTTGAGGATCCATCGGAAATAGCATTTGGCGTTCACGATCCCTCTGTTAAACAAACTTCTCTGGTCCATATTGACTTTTTTTTTTTTTTTTTTTGACAGGCAGAGTGGACAGTGAGAGAGAGAGACAAAGAGAAAGGTCTTCCTTTTGCCGTTGGTTCACCCCTCAATGGCTACTGCAGCTGGTGCGCTGCGGCCGGCGCACTGCACTGATCCAAAGCCAGGAGCCAAGTGCTTCTCCTGGTCTCCCATGAGGTGCAGGGCCCAAGCACTTGGGCCATCCTCCACTGCCTTCCCGGGCCACAGCAGAGAGCTGGCCTGGAAGAGGGGCAACCGGGACAGAATCCGGCGCCCCAACCGGAACTAGAACCCGGGGTGCCGGCGCTGCAGGCGGAAGATTAGCCTATTGAGCTGCGGCACCCGTCCCATATTGATCTTGATAAATGGGTCATTCCCACTGTCCCTGGAGCCAGATGGATGCCCAATGGCAACAACATCAAAGCAGGTTTCAAATGTTGAAACCAAACTAAGCTATTTAGCTCACATTTACCACAAAATCCAATTTTCTCCACCCTTCTTTGGTGCAGAAATGCAGCAATGAGCCTTGTCTCAGTGCCACTTTGTAAGGTAGGAAATGGCAAAAAAACAGGTCAACATGCTCCACCAGTAAGCCAGCCTTGGGACACAAGTAGCAGAGGAAAATCAAAATGAAATCCAACAACAAAAAGGACTCACCCTAGAATCCTGGAAGAAGTGATCACCAGGGACATTGGAATTAAGCAGAAGCACCTGTAAACCTTTTTCTTTTATAAAAATTTTTAAGTTTGTTTATTTATTTGAAAGACAGAGTTACAGAGAAAGAAGGAGAGACAGATTTTCCATCTGCTGGTTTACTCTCCAATGGCCACAACAGCCAGGGCTGGACCATGTCAAAGCCAGGAGCCAGGAGCTTCCTCCTGGTCTCCCCCATGGGTGCAGGGGCTCAAGCACTTCGGCCCTCCTCTGCTACTTTCCCAGGCATATTAGCAGGGAGCTGGATTGGAAGTGGGGCAGCCAGGACAGGACCCAGCACCCATATGGGATACTGATGTCGCAGACAGCAGCTTAACCTACTATGCCACAATGCTGGCCCCAAGCCTCTTTCTTCTAACGTGCAAGCTCTGGACCAGGTACTGGAAGTACAGTGCTGATCCGTACACACCACTGATGCGTTCATCAAGATGCAGAGCAGTGTCTTAGCCATTGTTAATTACCAAGGGCCGGGAAGACAGCACAGCCACAACACACACGAGTAAAAATGGCAAAGCAGGCACCCAAAGATGCTTCAGCTTCTACTTAGGACCACAAGGGGCTAGGTTTACAGGGTGGGACAAGAATTCACAGACTTGGGTAAATTAATCTCAGAACTCCATTGTTTACTTCAGTAACCCTGTGCTGCTTCTTGCAAAGGCTCCAGCTCCCCCTAACGGGCATCACCTGTAAGTACCATTTAAAGCAAAACCCTCCTCCACAACTGGGCTTGCTTAACTCATTTTGCTTGAAAATGAAAGAAATGGGGGAAAACCTTGTCTATAGAAGCTCCATGCTATGGGTGTTCAGTATGTGCAGTTGCCTTCACCTCTCACCAGGAATTTTGTTACAGTCCTCAGTAACACCTGCTCTGATGGGCTACCACAATCTGGCAGACCTTCCCAAGATCCATACTGAAGTGTTGGCATGACTTCGGGCAGGGTATGGTAAGGAGCCTAACAAAGAGGAACATTCTAGAAAGATCCGGCCGTTCCCAGGGCACACCTAAAAGAGCCAAGGATGCTCATCAGAATGGTCATATGTCAGATTCACACCAAAAGGGAAAGGCCATCTTTCTGAAAGGAAGAAACAACCTACACCTGAAAACACATCTCAAAGTAGGGTGAGCAGTGTTAGAGCAATGGCCTGGCAGTACTCAAACCTTCACAGTTCTGTGCCTGGCAGTGTAGGAGGGAGGTCAGTGGAATGGGTGATTCCGGCCCCAGCTGACAGCATAATACAGTGGGAGAAAAAAAGGGGGTCAGGAGTATTAAGAACCATCCACAAGACTAGAAGGAGTAACAATACACAGAGAAAGGAGCTGTAATATGGGAAGGTAGACCCTGAGAAAGGAAACAAAGTTGTTCTCATCCTATTATCTCAACAGGTGGAGGCACTATAATTGGATAAAGCAGGAATGTAAATACAACGTCTGATTACGCCTAGCTAAAACCCTGTTGAATAGACTACCTGACCAGATCCAAATAAGTAATTCCTTGAGGGCAAATGGAAAGTGAACATGTACTCAGAGTAGACTCATTTCCAGTGAGCTGCTTCACTGTACATTTCTGCTCTCCAGAGAGAAATACATAATATATAGCTGAGACCCCAAAGACACAAGCAGCATTAACATTGACATAAAACGTTTTCATTTGTCCTAAAGGCCATTGAAGTAATCAAAAGATGCAAGCTGGTTACAATGAAACAGAAAAACTGAAAATTCTCCCTCAGTGTGAGATACACAGCTTTACTACCCTGGGCAAGAGAAACATGGCAGAGCCCCTATGAAGAAGAGCAGAGTGAGTGGAACCCAGGCCTCCGTGAGGTGAGCAGGCAGTGGGTCACACCCCTCCCGATGCCCCACAAAGCACAGGACAGCTGGTCAGCACAAACCCCAGGAGACGTAGGACGCTGGCACATACAGGCCTCACTCCGGCAGTTCTCACTCCTGCGGCTTCAGCCTCCTTGTTTGTGGAGTCTCGGTCAGATGATCGCCCACTGGCTGTGCTGTCCAAGGAATGGCAGGAGACAGCATTGTACAGTGCCTCGTAGGGACCCTCCTCTTCAGTATTTGTGTCAAAATCGATGACCAGTTCAGTCACTGCTTTCTCCACATCACCTGAGAGGAGGTTGGAGGGTAAGAGAGTCAATAAAACAAGAGAAGAATCTCAGGTTCCAACTACTGCAGCAACCCAAAGCTTCTTTAGTAACCTGCACAAGACAAACACCAACCCAGAGCAGGAATGATTACTTTGTTCCAAGGACAGAGATAAAAAGTTTCAGCTGTTCTTCATACTCTAAGGGCTAAACACATTCTTCTCTAACTCAGTATGGAAAAACCTTGACATCTATCTTAAGAGATACCTCCTAAGACTCTTATAAAATCCCGCAAGTACCTCAATACTATAAGAGTTTAAACTTAACCTAGAAAGGGTAGCAACATATAACCAAAAACCTTCAAATCCTGTAATGCCTTCCTGCGCAAGTGTTAAGACTCAACGTGCTGCTGGGTAACCACCAACCTGAGAGTACCTGGGATCTAAATCTGTGACTCTGCAAAATTACTGTTACAGACCAGTCAGCTCTGGCTCATCTGCAAATAGCCAAACCTAAAATGTAAAATCCTTGAAAGCTAAGGGCTGAGTGAACTAGTAATCCTATTACTAGCAGATTATGAGGTCAAGGTAAAAAGTGCTCGGGACGGAAAGAGGGAGACAAGGAATCCACAGTAAAGATAGGCTGAGCTCCTGTTAACCCTTCTATCTCTGCTCTCCTCTGCAAAACTCCTTTCCTTTTTTTTCATTTTTAGCTGTGTTGTTTCTCTAGCCTTCTGTACTGTGATTTGTAACTTGGAGGAAGGTGTCAGTCTTTGTCTCTGTCATTCATCATACGAAGGACCTGAAAGACTGCTCGACAAATCTGAAATGGTAGACGTGGCTAATAACAGATTGCCTGAGCTGTCTAAGACAGCATCCAGAGCAGCTGGTAGCCAAATGATATATTACCAAAGTCTGCCACACACATCTACCAACCAGATGACAATCATCATATATTTACTGTGGGCCAACTATGCATAAGGCATGATAGTGTTAGCAAAAGAAGGTTTCATTGAAATCTTGAGAATTCACACCCCATAACAGATCTCATAGAACCAGCTGTAAAAATAGAACAAAAAATCAAGTAGGAAAGCAGCAGCCCATCAACAAAGGCCTAAGCTATGTCCAATAAACCTTCATGTAACAGCTGGGGGGGAAATGAACATAAACTTACTGAGTACTCACAACCCATGAAATTATTATTTAAAATCAGATTTTTCATACTGCCCAAGAATGTTCACCTTCACCAAGAAGAGAAGAAGAGTTGCCTTACTCTGACACTTCTGTGATATGGAGTCCGTATTGGAGATGAGAGGTGGCTGGGCTGTGGGGCTTTTATCCATCTCTTTTGTACTTCTTTTTCCCATCATGTGATCTACATGGAGTGATTAAAAAAAACTAAACGAGCTGCACCGAATACAAATGCCATGGTTCAGGTAGCGTGTCCCCTGGTCACCCAGACAAGGAAGATGGACTGATACCTTCAATAAGTGCTGCTATCTGCTGGCTCTTTTGAGAAGGCAGTTCCCGGACAGTGTCTAGTGCAGTCAGTCCACGGTTATCTTTTATGTTGACATCAATTCCTAGAAAGGCACACCAGGTGGACCAGGAGAGTAAGCATTTGCAAGCCAGCCTCAAAGAAGGTCACATTCTAGGACACTCAAGGCTCCCAGCAGCACAACCAATGGTTTTTATCCAAAGCCATTTCATCTAGCTATTCAGAACAATTCACACACTTGTAACCAACCAGTGCAGACTCACACATACAATGGATTCAAATGCAGCCAGCAAACATCCCCTCAGGGGAGGCTATGGGGAAAGAATCCCAACCCTGGCATGCTGTGTAGACAAGAGCGCTGCCGACCTCTCACCTGCAGCCAGCAGGATTTGCACCACATCGGTCTTGCCAAACAAAGCAGCCTCATGCAAAGCACTGCCCATCTCCGTCTGGAAAGCAAACGAGAGCGCAGAGCTGGATGTCATCAGAACAGTTTGGTGTGGCTTCCCATGACAAATGGGACATGGACGAGAAGGGACAGGAAAGGAAAATAAACCACACAGAGCCCTCTGTCATTATCTTTCCAATTCTTCTTGTATGGATTCCAAAACCACAACTGTGGTATGTATCTCAAAGTTGTTTGTATGCCACCAGCAGGTCATATGTGAATAAATGAACAGGTGCTCTTGGAGCCACCTACTGGTGAAAATTCTCAGAAGTCTACCTTCGTAAGTGGGAGGAGTAATGGGAAGAAAGCACAAGTGAAGAAAATCACCTTCACTTCAAATGTGCTTCAGTGCATGCAAACCCTAAGGAATCCTTCATCTCAATGGGCAAGGCTAAGAACGAAGGAAAGACTGGGTGTCCTGTTGGCAACATCACACTGATGAGACTCTGGAGGTGCTAGCTGGTGGCAGTGGGAACACACTTGTATAGGAAGATAATGAAACTTTGAATGTTGAAAGATAGTCCGTAAGCTCATCTTTTCAGGGTTTAATGATGACAAACTACCCCCTGAAAAGACGTAGAAAAATAAAGGAGTTCATCTGTCTCTAAAGTTTCACATTCAAACGAGTCAACAAATGGAAGCATCTGAAAGGTGATGGGAAACGTGCTAAATAAGAACACAGCCCAGAAGCATGGTACTTGTGCCTTCTTTCCAAACTAAGTCCCTTGAGCCAGGGAGGAGTAGCCGCCCCGCTACCTGGTAGTTGCTATCCATGCCAGCATCAAGGAGGACCTGGACCACAGCTTTGTGGCCGTTCCTGGCTGCCAAGTGCAGAGGGGTGTGCTTCTTAGTGTTGCAGCTCAGGAGGTTGGGATGTGCGTTGAGGAGCATCTTCACCACCTCCAGGCGCCCGTAGAGTGCCGCTAGGTCCAGAGGCGTCTCAAATTTGTTGTTGCGCATAGTAGGGTCCGTGAGCTCCTCTAAGAGCACCTTCACCACCTCCGTGTGGCCGTACTGCGCTGCGCAATGCAGAGCCGTCTCATTGTCGTTGTTCTAAAGAAGTAACAAGCAGATCTCATCAGAAAGGTGGCTGGCAGACTGGTACCTGACCAGGACAGCACATGTAAAACCACTGAAATTTAAATGAGAAAGATAGCAGCAATACCTGGGGACTACTCAAAGTCAGAATCCAGGAATGCTTCCCTGGAAACAAGTCTGCCTGCACCAATCAGCCACATCTTCCCCCCGTTCTGCAAGAGGGGAGCCACCCTCTCCAAAACATTTAGTTTCCTATGTGCATTGAAGAAAGTGTCTCCAGACTGTAAGGAGACTGAACAAAGGAATGTGGCAGGCATTTTCTAGAAGTCCTGGCACAGACTAATACCAATAATATCACTGCCATAGTTTCATTTTAAACTTCACTGGTTTTACAACAACTTATTCAACTCTGTGGTTCTAATTCTAGACTCATCAACCATTCATTGCCTTAAACACAAGCTTTTTAAGAAGAAGCTGCCATCAGTACAGCTTCTTGCATGCAAACCAACCAGCCATCAATGAAAGTAACAGCAGAGCACCAAAAATCCCTTTGAAGTCATCAGGCAACAGCCACTTCCAGGGGAGGGAAGCACTTGGGCTCAGTCGCGGAGCAACATGGGACCTGGTGCTGCACTGTGCCTGCTCCAGGAGCCTGCACCGATCAATGCATGCAGGGTCTACTTCATTAAAACGGAAGCTAGGACAGGGAAGTGCATCTTATGTGAGAGATACAATTCAGATGCTGAGATTTTGCATGAGAGGTGCAAAATATTCAAATGTAATGTTGTCATCAATATGTAATATGTCGCCATCAATTTGAATTCACAACCCTGATGCCAATTCATTTAAAACTGAGCAAAATTTAGTCTAGGATAAAATGGGAGAAGTTTGTTATTTATCCTATTAGAAGCAAAATGCTAGTCATTCCAATTATGCTCTTTCTTTTATTGTTATTGACAACATATAATTAGAGAAAAAATAATTTCCATGACCTCTCATTTTTGAGAAGCACCAATGAAAATAACTCTCCCACAAGATTCTGAAATTCCTAATTTTATTTAGGAGTACAAGAAGGGGTTTTTCCCATCAAGGCAATATTGTGCACCTTTCAGTGGGCAAAAGGTAAAAGTTAAATTTTTCTACCATTGCTTTAATTCTATTAACAGCATAAAAAATAACAGATTAGAAGTTACCCAAACACACATGCAATACCATTTGCTTTTAATCTGGCATTTGACTGCATCATTTTTTTCCAGCTACACCAAGTGTACCAGTCAGATCCACAGCTGCAGGGAGCAAGGCCTCCAAGGGCCAGAAGGACGGCAAAGGATATTTTTTAAATGAAATAAGGACAGAAAAAGTGGTAGCAGGAGCCACATGCAAAGATAAATGCACACAGATAAACACGAGGATACAGAGGCAGGAGCCCTGAGTTCAAACACAGCTGCGGAGAAAGCGTAGACAGCCTCCACTGGCCCAGAGCACGGCCTGTTAGCCAGGGCCTCCTACGGTACAACTGGGCCCAAGCGGCGATTTCCATGCCAACCTAAAAGTGTGAAGGAAAGGAAATGCTGGGCAGGAAGCAAATTCTTGGGGCTCCCTGTGCCATACAAATCATTAGAACACTCATTGGAATGCCCATTTCCTATAAAGCTTTGACTTGGGGATTCCCTGTGCAAACTCCGAGTTGTCATTTCTCTTCTCAGGAGGAAAAGACAGCCACGTCAAAAAAAGCTGCCCTTGGCCAGCAATATGGCTCACTAGGCTAATCCTCCACCTGCAGCGCTGGCACACCAGGTTCTAGTCCCAGTTGGGACGCCGGATTCTGTCCTGGTTGCTCCTGTTCCAGTCCAGCTCTCTGCTGTGGCAGATGGCAGTGGAGGATGGCCCAAGTACTTGGGTCCTGCACCCGCATGGGAGACCAGGAGGAAGCACCTGGCTCCTGGCTCCTGGCTCCTGGCTTCGGATCGGCGCAGTGCGCCAGCTGTGGCAGCCATTTGCAGGGTGAACCAAAGGAAAAAGGAAGACCTTTCTCTTTGTCTCTCTCTAACTCTGCCTGTCCAAAAAAAAAAAAAAAAAAAAAAAAAAAGCTGCCAAGAGTTTTCTAGAAAGTAATTCCAGGAGACACTGGCAACCCAAAGAAATTTAAGAGGAGTCTCTGGGATTTCTATCTCAAGATTAGAGTGACAGCAAGGGCCAAAAAGTCAGCTTATTCTTATGAGAATTCAAATACAGAAAAACTCTGGCCCAGCTCCAGTCGTTGTGGCCATTCGGGAAGCAAACCAGCAGACAGAAGATCTTTTTCTGTTTCTCCCTCTAACTCTGCCTTTCAAATAAATAAACCACTAAAAGAAAAAAAAAAAAAGGCTGAAGAAGTGTAAAACTCTATGCAGTGAGAGAAATATATATATTTATATATGTATACACATGTATGTGTGTATATATGTGTGTGTGTTTGTATTTAAACACAAACACACACTTGTTTAAATACAAACACACACACACACACACACATATATATATATATATTAAGTCTTCTTGATCTCTTTTCTCTTTTTGCCTGAATGAGGGGAGCTGCCCTGCTAATGGGAAGGTCTTGATCACTACTGGCAAATTTCTTGTGGCATGTTAAAAATGGTCTAGCCACATCTTTGCAGAAAGTTATATTCATGTTCACAGTGTAGGGAGCATCTGGGTATGTTTCAGTCTGGCCAGACATGATCTGGTAATTACAGTACTCTTGAGTTTATGTCTGGGCTGACCACATCGCTCTACCACTGAACACAGGCCAACATAATGAGCTTGTGTTACTGTTTCCTCTTTGAGCCCGACAACTATCAGCCCAAGAAGTCATTAAGTGTTGATTCACACACCCACAAGAAAGGAAGGGATTCTAACCACCTGAATTCCTTCTTTTCATACCTGGCAATTCACACTACAGGTGATCAGACCACCTCAAGGGTTTTCAGAATCACATCCCTATTAGTCTGGACCAAGGAAAGGGGGTGAGAGGAGATGTTCCAATTTCCCCAAAAGCTTTTGCATAAACCTCCATACCTACTCAACTTGAGACTCACATTAATTTTTCCTTGCTATGGTTAGTTACTGGTACTTCAAAGAAAAAAAGAGGATCCCTATGAATATCCCTACCCCTGAAGATTCCATTCAATGTATAAATCTATTATACATACATAAACTACAAGCAGCAGCAAACTACAGAAACATCTCCATGGCTTTATTCTTCTTGAAACTACTTCAGGACCATCACTGCCCAGTGCTGAGATGACAGCCCAGCAGCACAGTTATCCACAGTTGACAGAAGCCCAAGTTAGGGACACCTGGGCTACAGCTACAGGCTGTAGAAACATCATCTTTAGGAAGAAAAGCCAAAACAGGCTTGAGTAGAATAGAGAAAACGGAGAACTGAGTCCCTCCTGTGGAAGAAGAGCCAGACTTACTCTTTAATGCTCTGGAAAGCACAACTCTGACCAAAAGATGGAAGATTTAGGAAGACAGATGTCATAATACATAAAAAATATGGAGAATCTAAAAAGAGGCCACAAGTGGTAATGAATTCTGTTTGTTATTAGGAAAAACAAGTAAAGTAAAGGGTAGATAGTCCATTTTTCAGTAAAAGAGGGAACAGAATTTCTGCCCTAGTGAAAAGTTGATCTAGATCAGTGGTTCTCAAACCAGCTTCAATTTGGAATTAAATGACAGCTTCAGAGTAACTGGCAGTAGATCTACCCTAGATCTGCCATGATAATACTTCAGAAGGTGAAGCCCAGGAAAGCATTATCAAAAACCTCACCAACCAGGCCCTGTGCTGTGCCACAACAGGCTAAGCTGCTGCCTGTGATGCGGGCATCCCCTATGAGCACCACTTTGAGTCCCGGTTGCTTCACTACCCATCCAGCTCCCTGTTAATGTTCCTGGGAAAATAGCAGAATATGGCCCAAGTCCTTGGACCCCTGCCACCAATTTGGGAGACTCAGATGAAGTTCCTGGCCCCTTGTTTTGGCTTGGCCTGTCCCTGGTCACTGTGGCCATTTAAGGCGTGAACCAGTAGTTGGAAGATCTCCCTCTTTCCATCTTTTCTCTGTAACTCTGCCTTTCAAATTAAAAACAAACAAAAACTCATCAATCTGGCAGGCACCAACTAAATCAAGCAGCCATCCTCATCAAGAATGAGACAAATGGACATCACGTACCTCACAACATCATGGACTACAAACAACATACATACAATCACTTCCGTGGCATTCCTGCCAGAAATGAATAATCTGAATCTAATCAGGAGGAAATAGCAAACAAACCTAAACTGAGGGAAAATTTACAGAACAAATACCCTATGTTCTCAAAATCTCAATGTCTGAAAATCTAAGAAAGACTTAAGAATTGCTTTATTATGTAGGATCCTGGACTGGATTCTGGACCAGAAAAAAATAACTGGTCTAAACGATATTACTGGGGCAACTGGTAAAATTTAGCATGAATTCTATATTAGATAATGGTATGAGAACAATGTTGATTTTCTGGATTTGACAACTGCATTGCCGTCTTCTAAATAAAGGTCTTTGATTGTAGGAGATTTACGTTGAAGTCATAACTAATATTAAATTATTTAGGGTTAAAAGGCTATGATGTTCATGACTTAATCTCAAACAACTTATCATCAGCTAACACCAAAACAAAAAAGCAAATGTGGCAAAATGTTAGCGTCTGAGAAACAAGAAAAGTACAATGCAGCTCATAGTATTATTCTCACAACTTGAAATTGAAAAAATTTTAAAAACAAAAAGCTTTAAAAGCTCACCAGGTTAATCCGATGTGATCAATGTTCAGGCACAATTGGTCTAGATCAAATTCCAAATCTCTTCTAGCTCTAAGAGTGGAAATTATTTTTAATCGCATAGAAAAAATAGCTTTACTCTAAAACTAATTTGTTGTATCATTTTATGATACTCAGAGTAAGTTAAAATTGGTTTCAAAGCTGGGAAATGAACAATTTTCACATCCCCACCTGGGCCAAGAATGTTTTTCATTTGGACTGTTTTTTGCTGACTTGCTGAAAAAGAAAAAGTCCCAGATGTTGAAGAGGACATCAAAGCTCATGAAAACTATCTCTGCTTCCAGAAAAGTCATCTGAGACTTAATTTTTACAGGTGCCTGGTAGGACTTAGCAGTCAAATGTAGTTTAGCAAAACAATCCTAGACACAAGGCAGGTCAATGAAAACCCAAGTCAGGATAAAATCCCGGAAGGCTAGGCTTGGATCAGCTCAAGAAGGGTTTTCATTCTCAGCACAAGCCGAATAGCTTTGTCCTTCACTGTAGTTGGCACCATTTGGTTTTCAAGATCGGGGGAGAGGGCAGCAAAGGACAAGATTTCCAAAGAGAGAAGGTTCTTATTACATGTAGCCTAATTTTATTTTATGTGTGCAAAATCAAAGGATAGGAAAACGTACTTTCAAAAACCAAAGACTTAGCCTTTAATCAAAACTTTATAGGCTAACTAAATGATCCACTAAGTGGGAAAATAATCACTTCAAGTCCTCCTCAAAACACAACCCAAAGAGAGGCTAATTGAGCAATGTTTCACTGAGCATTACCTACTAGTAACAAAAATAGAATCCAAAAATACTACATAACATTTCGAAAATAGGATCAAAATATTACTAATAGTAGATATTTTTACTTTATCTACATTATCTTATTTATGTTCCCAAACACTATAGCAAGGTGGATGGTAATACCCCATTTTACACAAGAGGAAACTGAGGCTCGGAGTGCTTAAACAACCCACTCAAGTCAACAAAACCATAAGTGGTAGCACAGAACTCAAACTCAGGAATGACATGAAATCCTATGTCCTGTAAATTTTCACTCCTATTTCTCAACTTCCCCCAAAAGAGAATTACTAAGGTATAGCATCTTCCTATTTTGCCAAGAACTTACAAAAGAGGTCAGTGTTTGGCACAGTGGTTATAAGACATTGCTTGGGATGCTTGCATCCCCCATGGGAGTATCTGGTTAGAGTCCTGACCCCTCCCTTTCTAATCCACCCAGGGAGGCAGCAGAAGATGGCTCAAGTATTTGGGTTCTGGGGTCCTGTCATTGACTTGGCCCAATCCTGGCTATTGTGGGCATTTGGACAGTAAACCAGCAGATGAAGATCAATATCTCTCTCTCTCTTTCTTTCAAATAAAATGAAAATAAAGACACAGAAAAAAAAAATGCAGCGAGTAAGCCAAAACAGAGTTGATGTGTTCCATTACTGCAGCTCATTAATGCCCAACCATAGAAGAAAACTTCCCACAGTGCCTCCTAGGTCTGGTCCAGATATTGATTTGCTAAACCAGTATTTCTCAAAGAAAGGTATAAAATATTTGCCTGTGTTTGGAAAGAAGCAGAAGTTCTTTATGTTTCCCTTCCTCAAGGCAGCCATATTCAGAGTAAATAAAAAATAGTTAATGTAGATAATGCAGTGTGTCTCGGCCAAACTCTATCAAACGTCATCAGAGTATAGCCTCTAATCAAAAAGTGGCAGGTGAGGAGTGAGCATTGGACAAGGCGGCACAGAGCCATTCACATGCCATATCAGAGTGCCTAAGTCTGTGTCCCAGCTCCACTCCTTATTCCAGGTTCCTGCTACTGTGTACCCCAGCAGGCAGCTGGTAATGGCACAAATGCCTGGGTCCCTGGCACCAACACAGAATGCACAGATGGAGTTCCCAGCTCCTGGCTTCAGCCTGGCTCCACCCGAGCTATTATAGACATTTGAGGAGTGACACAGTGGTTGGGAGATCTTTGTCTTTCAAATAAAACAAATAAGCAATCAGCAAAAGAGCAGTGAGAGAACAGACTAACGTCACCACTCCAACGGCAAGATCTGGCCTTTCCAAGGGGCAGAGCAGGTTGGCCTTTCATCCCCAGGCCCCAACCCCACCAGGAGGGAGACTTCAGGCAAGTTGTCTGCCTGGCCCACTGTTTTCAGAGTCCTTTGTGGGTCATGAGTGACCAAGCAGAGTTGGAAGGTAATGTTAGAGAGACTGGACTGAAGCTTTGAAACATCAGGCAGAAAAGCACAAACTCCAGGAAAATGAGAGGCAAGTGGCAAGCAACAGTTTTTAAAAGAATAAAATGGAGTTATCTAGGTCTTTTCCCCCACACCTCTACCAGCAGCTATTGAAATCTGAAAGAAATTCAGATTGTAATTCAAAAGAAATACAGAATGTAGACTAAACTTTTAATTTCAATTTCAGGAAGTATACTTTAGTAATTTTTCTGTGCTTATCAAAAAGTAAAATAATTTGACATCTTTTAACTAATTTTTTTTTATTTACATGATTTTAGAAATTACAACAGTAAACTAAGTGTATAACGTGGTTCCTTCTAATTCCCAATTTCTGCCATGTCAGATGTTCCAAGAAAAGCACCAACCTTTCCAGAATTAGTATGGGTTTTAAAAATAAAACCAAAATCCACTGCAGCTGCATTTTCCCATTCCCAAACAAGCCAAAAGCAGAGGGCTGAAGCAGACAACAGTCAGAATGATGAGGAGGAGCCTGAGAGGACAAGAGTGGAAGAGGACAAAGTGGGGCTGCAGCTTGGAGAAATGATGCAGAGAAATCCTGGCAGCAAAGTACACACCTTGGCATTGATATAAGGGTCAAAAGGGCCGTACTTTTTGAGTTCTTTGATCTCAAGAGCATTCTACAAAAAGGAGAGGAAAAAATGTGATGATAAAATGGATGAAATATATCAAAGCAATACATAGCCCTGAGGAGGCCCAACAACAGAAGGACTTGGACCTGCCCTCTGGATGCCTCAAAAGGAAGTTAATGGGCAAGACAACCTCCAGGGCATTGTACTCATTACCCTTTTTTTTTTTTTTATCTAAGCATCCAACTATAACCACATAAACGGTTTTTAAACAAACCAAAGCAGTACTTTCAACTACCACCCAGATCCATTAGGTTCTTATAGCTAGTACCCACATCCTGTCCCATCCACCGACCTGCCAGATATTCAAAGCACTGGGTTCGTGTCCCACCTATCAACAGATACTCCACGCAGGAGGCAGCTGTGTGTGAGCAGGACAAGCTAGCATACTCAAGTGGCTCAATATATAAGCAGCTGTGTTCCAAGGCAAAAGTGAGCAAAGACAGGATTAGAAATGGTTGTTGAAAACTTCTTAAATGAGAAGGACTTTAATGCGTGGTCAGTTTTTTTCAATATTAAAGAATATGAATGCTAAGCAAACTTCCTTATATATTTCCTCAGAAGAGAAATTACCACTTTAGCTAAGAGGAGCAAAATTGCATTTAGATTTTACAGAGGCAATTCTGAAGAGATGACTTTCATTCCCCAATGCTATTAATAAGCATCTTCACTGATGATCTTAAGTGTCTGTTGCTCACCTACCCAGGAACTACGACTCAAAAGACAAAAGGGAAGCTGATTAACAGCAGTATACACACAGCCTCCAAGTTGAGAGGTTTGGGAGCACTGCCTCAATCTTTTCACACCCACAGCAAAGCTGCACTTCTTGGAATCAAAGTCACGCTCTGAACAGCTCAATGAAAATTTACATGGATCTAGTGGACAGGCAAACTGGCCAGAATTTCCTGTATCTCTGAGAAAAAAAAACCTTGATCTAATCCTACAGGTAATTTAACAACCTCCTGTCAGCAAAGTCATTAGAGAAATAGTGTCAAGTTTATTGAGAAAGAGCAGTGTCTCCTGCTTCATTCAGAGTAGAGAGGAAAATAGGAAAATGGCTGGTCGCTTAAGGAAAGACCGTCTCCTCTCACTGGGCATGCACCTTGACCCAGTGACAGGGATGTGTTAAAGACAGCCTTAGCTGAAGCTTGCGTAATTCCAGAATAATAAAGAAAAGCAGTTGTATTTTCTCAGTCCCTAAATCCATGGCCACTGTGATGTATTTCTGCTTGAATGCTGTCTTTTTCTTATTTTCTAAGAATTATTTCTGCTTTTGCAAAGCATGCTCACTCTTGAGTCAACATCAGAGGGTACCATGGAAATGATCTTCATTCCACTGAATCACCTCTGACCTCCATTCATGTGTTTCTGATTTTGAGTTCATTTTCAGCACCAGCACAAATACATCCCCTTCTGTGTATTCTGATGTATGTAAAACAACAGCATGGTTCACATGGCAAACACTGGGAAAGCTGCACTGCCATGCTGATGACATAAACACAATTTAAAATTAATTAAGTCTACCAGTTTTAACTCTATGCAATTCTGAAGGATTTACCTTATTTCAAATTTTGCACAGAGTATGTACAGTTTTATTATAGCACTCTTTCCAGTCCACATGAGTCAACTGCATATAAAATGCATCCTAGAGGGGCTGGCACTGTGGTGCAGCAGGTTAACGCCCTGGCCTGAAGCACCAGCATCCCATGTGGCCACCAGTTCAAGTCCTGGCTGCTCCACTTCCGATCCAGCTCTCTGCTATGGCCTGGGAAAGCAGTAGAAGATGGCCCAAGTCCTTGGGCCCCTGCACCCGCTTGGGAGACCTGGAAGAAGCTCCTGACTCCTGGCTTCAGATCGGTGTGGCTCTGGCCGTTGTGGCCAATTGGGGAGTGAACCAGCGATGGAAGACTTCTCTCTCTCTCTTTCTCTCTGTGTGTGTGTGTGTGTGTGTGTGTGTAACTCTGACTTTCAAATAAATAAATAAGTCTTTAAAAAAAATGCATCCTGGAGTTCCATATTCATTAGCCTAGTAGTCAAGACATCCACATCTCATATCAAGTCACTGCGTTCAATCCCTGGCTCCAACTCCTGATTCTAGATTCCTTCTGATTTTGATCCTGGGAAGCAGTGATGATGGCCCAAGTAAGTGGATTCCTGCCATCCATATGGGAGATCGGGATTGAGTTTCTAGCTCCCAGCTTCGGCTAAGCCCAGTCCTGGTCAATAGATGGGAGTTCTCTCTTCCACTTACAAATAATAATTTTTAAAATAAAAAAAAAGACTAAAAAACTTTAAAATTTAAAAAGGAGTCTTCTAATACATTAAGATGAGTAGAAGTAGGAGGGAGAATGGAAGAGCTGGTTCCCTGAGATGTGAACTATGGGACTGAGATGTGATGGGGCTGCCAAGGTCTGGCTAGACCTGAATAGAAGGAGGAAACCCTAACCCTCCCCTCCTTCCAACCTGCTCATTGACTCTAGTGTGCGAGGGCCCTTGATGGATGAGCAACCGCACTATCTGGGCATCTCCTTTCCAGGCGGCCAAGTGCAGAGGGTAGCAGCCTTTAGAGTCAGCCACGTTGGTCAGTGCATCATTCCTCAGCAGAACCTCGACCACATCCCTAGAAGGCAAAAAGCAGTCCTGAGTTTTCAGAACATCAACCGCTCTTTACATTTGTGTACCACAAAGCCCCCCCCACAGGAATTATCTCATTTGCTCCTCTCCCTTCCCTCCCCAATGGACCTGAGCTCATTGTCCAGGCTTTTCCTTTTATTCCACCAGCAACCCATACAGCTGCTGACACTCAGCTGAGCCATCTTGACTTGCTACACTGATTCATCCCCTCCCTGTTGAGGCTTTTTTGACACTGTCTGGACTCCATTCTGAAGTCAATTTATAGTTTGTGATGTTTAAATAGCATTGAAAGAATTTATGTTTAAATGATCATGTAACACAAATATTATTCATCACATTAATCACAGCATTTAGTGATGTGAGAGCTAAAGTAGATAGACAAAGCAGAATTAAAATGTAAACATAAGCCAGACACATACAGTATCATTTGATGCAGAAAGAGGGATTTGGCTTTCTTCTTGGGGACACCACTAATTCGGCAGATAAAAGATTGTAATTACCTCCATGCACATGGAGGCAAAGGAAATCCTCACTGTAAATAAAAACAGCATCTGGAGATGAACTTGACTGACAACCTACCTACAATCATTTAAGTTCAAGATGCACTTTAATTCAGATTGTTCTATTTTCGGGAGAAATGTCTACAAATTTCTTTTTGGTTTGTTTAAGATGGTTATAGCAAAGAGCTAATGATCACATGCAACACAGTTTAGAAAAAAAATTAATGTTGGGGGCTGGAGCTGTGGTGTAGCAGGTAAAGCCACTGTCTGCAGTGCCGGCATTCCATATGGGCGCCGGTTCGAGTCCCAGCTGCTCAACTTCTGATCCAGCTCTTTGTTATGGCCTGGGAAAGCAGTAGAGGATGGCCCAAGTCCTTGGGTCCCTACACCCGTGTCGGAGACCCAGAAGAAGCTCCTGGCTCCTGATTTTGGACCGGTGCAGCTCCGGCTGTTACGGCCATCTGGGGAGTGAACCAGGGATAGAAGACCCTCCCCCCGCCCCATTTCTGCCTCTCTGAATCTCTACCTTTCAAATAAATAAATAAATCTTTTAAAAAAATTAACGTTGAAGGAAACCATTGCCTCTTTTTGGCACACTGGAGTTAATTAAGCTGGGCCAAATACTGAATAAGAAATACAGAGTACTGTAAGACGGTAAGGGCCTGCTAATGGCTTAGGATAATGTAACATGATCCAGTAAATCCTATCTAATAAAAACTAAACCTTTACTGGTTACCTCCTATAGGAATTTATTTGAAACTGTCTTTAACTTGCTCCACTATGTCATACTCTGGTTTCCATTCTTGGACATTCTGGCAAACCCACTGACTGTGCTCCTTGCCAGCCCCTTTGTGAAGCCATCACATCTCCCTCATTTAAAGGGTAGAGCCCAATCACTTAAGCTTATCCCTTCTTTCTCCAATTCCCCCCAGATCACACCTTCTCCAGAAAACTTTCCACACAAATTCTACCAAATTTCTAATGATCTCTTTATATTTAAGAGGATTAAATAGGCCATATTATTTATGTATTTTTATCTCTTAGAAATTGATCTTTGGGGCTGGCGCTGTAGGTTAATCCTCTGCCTATGGTGCTGGCATCCCGTATGGGTGCGGGTTCTAGTCCCAGCTGTTCCTCTTCCAATCCAGCCCTCTGCTGTGGCCTGGGAAATCAGTAGAAAATGGCTCAAGTGCTTGGGCCCCTGCACTCACTTGGGAGACCAGGAAGAAGCAGCTGGCTCCTAGCTTCAGATCAGTGTGGCTCTGGCCGTTGCAGCCATTTGGGGATTGAATCAACAGAGGGAAGACCTTTCTCTCTGTAACTCTACCTCTCAAATAAATAAATAAAATCTTTACAAAAATTGATCTTTTTGTTTACAGGCTAATTTTATGAAGAAATAATGTCAGGCAAGAAGTCAGAATAAATCAATAGCTACTTTAATAGAAGACAAGTTTCTCATGACCACTCAAACTATTTTCATCTTATTAAGAGGTTAGTTACCTAATAGATTCCAGCCTCTTTATGATTTGGTTGTCCCAAATGTGATCTTCATATTTAGATCATTATGTGGCACTGGAACATTCCAGAGGAGAAAAGAACAAGTAGAAGAAAAGATAAAACTTAACCTTTGGCCAAAGGTCTTTTAGAGGGTGGGGTATGGTTGGGGAGGATGTTTAAATTATATCCTATAGAGAGACTTGGGAATTCTGCATGGATTGAATTTAGTATGCTTTTCTCTTTTCCTCAGTCCATTGCTTTATAAAAATGAAGAAGACAACCTGAGGGGTTGGGTTAATACTTACTTGTGGCCATTCAAAGCGGCATGGTGCAAGGGTGTATAGCCAGTGCTGTCAACACAGTTCACATTTGGCCCTCTCCACATGCTATCAGGGGAAAAAAAAAAAGAGACAGAGTTCACAGACTGCAGCCACAAACCAAAGCTAGAAACAGCTAGTACTTAGAAAATATTTCTGTGTGGTGTTTATTAAACTGGGTACTTAGAAATGACTCCCGATAAAGGCCAGAAGCTATACACTACAAAAACACACGGCAGTGAGGGTACACAAAGGTTTGTTGAACAAGGAGTCGTGTCAAAACAGCAGCAGCATCAATAAAAAGCTTGTTCTTCTACACCTTTTTCCTCATCTGTAACTTCATTATTCATTCAGTCTGAGACTGATGCCAGGTTTGCAAAAACAGCTCATTGAAAGGACATCAACAATATCATGGGAGCATACCACATAGTCGTCACAGGTATGCTGACCCCTGTGCTGGTGACTGAATGCATCAGAGAGGACCTCAACACAGACCAGATAATCACGATGATTCCAGCAGCAAGGATCAAGATCAAAAACACATGAGGGCCAGCGCCGCGGCTCACTGGGCTAATCCTCCGCCTGCGGCACCGGTACCCCAGGTTCTAGTCCTGGTTGGGGCACCAGGTTCTGTCCTGATTGCTCCTCTTCCAGTCCAGCTCTCTGTTGTGGCCCGGGAGGGCAGTGGAGGATGGCCCAAGTGCTTGGGCCCTGCACCCGCATGGGAGACCAGGAGGAGGCGCTCGGCTTCTGGTTTCAGATTGGCGCAGCGCGCTGGCCGTGGCAACCATATGAGGGGTGAACCAACAGAAGGAAAACTTTTCTGTCTCTCTTTCTCTCACTGTCTAACTCTGCCTGTCAAAAAAAGAAAGAAAAAAAAAACACACATGAGGATACACGTATTAAGACACAATAGACGTTTTGTCCTTTCTTTGCAAATCCTCGGCCCTCCATATTCATGATTCAACCAACTGTAAATCAAAAATACTCAGGAACAAAGTATGTCTATACGGAACATGTGCAGACTGTTTCTTCTTGTCACCATTCTCTAAACAACATATATAACAACTTTGGCCAGCGCCGCAGCTTAATAGGCTAATCCTCCATCTGCGGCGCCGGCACCCCGGATTCTAGTCCCGGTTGGAGCGCTGGATTCTGTCCTGGTCCCTCCTCTTCCAGTCCAGCTCTCTGCTGTGGCAGATGGCAGTGGAGGATGGCCCAGGTCCTTGGGCCCTGTACCCGCATGGGAGACCAGGAGAAGCACCTGGCTCCTGGCTTCGGATCAGCGCAGCGTGCAGGCTGTAGCAGCCACTTGGGGGGGGGGGGTGTACCAACAGAAAAAGGAAGACCTTTCTCTCTGTCTCTCTCTCTCTCTCTTAACTCTGCCTATCAAAAAAAATAAAAATTAAAAAAAAAAAACTGTTCACATGTCATTTACATTGCATTAAGTATTTTAAGTAATCTAGGGGTGTTTTAAAGCATATGGGGAAAGTGCATACATTATATGAACATATTAAGACATTTTATATAAGGGTGCTACTAATGCACACTCTGGGTGGTAGCAGGTTGATGGCTCAAGTAGTTGGGTCCCTGCCACCCCAACAGGAGACCCAGAATGAGCTTCTGGTTCCCAGTTTCAGCCTGAGCCCAGCATAGGGTGCTATGGGTATTCGGAGAGTGAACCAGCATGGGAGCTCTCCTTCTCTCTCTCAAATAAATAAATAAATAAATAATAAAATAAAAAAGTAGCAGAGGTCAAGCTTGTTTGTCCCTACTTCTAGTAAGGCCTCTAATGGTTTGAGGGACACACTGCAAAACAAAAGGAAGTATTCTATTTTCTATTTTATTTTATTTTATTTTCTACAGCATTGTTAGATAGTTGTTTTAATTTGTATGCATTTTATATATCTACAGAGATAATCACAGTTTTTCACATTTAATGACTTAAACATGTATACAGGTTACTTTTCATTGAGCAATTTTTTTAGCCTTTATTTCAATTTCCTTTTTTCAATAAAACTTATCTGCTCATTATTCATGATGTCCTTGTTCATGAATTCTGCTTAAGAGTATCTACTTGAGGGGCCGGCATCATGTCACAGCAGATTAAGCCGCCATCTGTGACACTAGCGTCCCATATGGGTGCCAGTTTATGTCCCAGCTGTTCCACTTCCAATCCAGCTCCCTGCTAATGTGCCTGGGAAAGTAGCAGAAGATGGCCCAAGTGCTTGGGCCAATGCACCCATGTAGGAGAGCTGGATGAAGCGCCTGCCTTTGTCCTGGACCATCCCTGGCTGTTGCAGCCATTTGGGGAGTGAATCAATGGATGGAAGATCTCTTTCTCTCTCTGTAACTCTGACTTTCAAATAAGTTTTTTTTTTTTTTTTTAAAGAGTGTCAGGGCCGGCGCTATGGTACAGCAGGTTAACACCCTGTCCTGAAGTGCTGGCACCCCATATGGCCGCCAGTTTGAGACCTGGATGCTCCACGTCCGATCCAGCTCTCTGCTGTGGCCTGGGAAAGCAGGAGAAGATGGCCCAATCCTTGGGTCCCTGCACCCATGTGGGAGACCCAGAAGAAGCTCTTGGCTCCTGGGTTCAGATCAGCGCAACTCCGGCCATTGCAGCAATTCCCATTCCATTGGATAGAAGATTGCTCACTCGTTCTCTCTCTCTCTCTCTCTCTAACTCTGATTTTCAAATAAATAAATAAATCTTTTCAAAAAACAGAGTATCTAGTTGAAATTCTACTTACTTGGGATTGTCATATCTATATTCATTAAGTGAAGTAGGTCCAAAGGTTTTGTTTTTTAAGCTAACGCTATTGGATGGAATCAATGTCACATCTGGACCACAGATCAGGTGAGCAGCTTTCTACTCATTTCTGTATTCAGGAATCACTGACATAGAGCATTAAAATTACAAAGTATTGCCAGTAAAACCATCTAAGTCTTGAGTCATGATCAGATATTGAAAGCTTATAACAATGACATTTAGAAAGTCATTACAGAAATTATTTTTGATAAATGCAGTATAGATACAGAGACTATCATATGACAATTAAACTGTTATGCTGGGGTCGGAGCTGTGGTGTTGTGGGTAAAGCCACCACCTGTAGTGCCACCATCCCATATGGGCACCAGTTCCAGTCCTGGCTGCTCCACTTCCGATCCAGCTCTCTGCTGTGGCCTGGGAAAGCAGCAGAAGATGGCCCAAGTCCTTGGGCCCTTGCACCTGCTTGGGAGACCTGGAAGAAGCTCCTGGCTCCTGGCTTCAGATCAGTGCAGCTCCGGCCATTGCGGCCAATTGGGGAGTGAACCAGCAATAGAAGACCCCTTCCCTCCCTTCCTCCCTCCCTCTCTCTTTCTCTCTATCCCTCCCTCACTCCCTCCCTGTGTAACTCTTAAAAATAAATAAATAAATCTTAAAAAAAAAAAACCTGCTATGTAGTAAGACAGAAGATTATAATGTTAAAATAAAAAAGCTAAATTATACATACTATATAGTTGTAGCTCCAGAAGAATCTATGAGAGAAACTTATCAGATAGCAGACTGAGCATACAAGTTTAATCCATCTCCTGCCTTAAGTTCTCTGAAGTGAGAGAAAAGATACCCCACCCTATACTAATGGGTCCATAGAGTCATTTAGCCAGATAGATAGATAAACAGATTCAGCCCAAGAATATTTTAAAAGATGTCATTAAGTAACTGGTAATATTGAGGAATTCCTAAAAGAAGATGAGATCAAATCTACGAAGACACAATCTTGAAGTATACAGATTAAAACAATCATATACCATTTTTCACCTATCAGATTGACAAAAGTGTTAATATTGACATTATCAAGTATTTGTAAATATCAGGGAAATAAGAACACTTAAACATCACTGGTATGAGTTTAAACTGGTGAATTCCTTTGGGAAAACAATTTGGTAGAATCTACCAAAACCAAAAATAGCATTCACTTTGAGCCAGCAATTCCACTCTCAGGCAACTATCCAACAAAAACACTTGCACATGTGCACAAAGACACATGCCTATATTGGACTACTTCACTCTAAAAACTTAAAGTCTGGGGCTGGCACTGAGGCACAGCAGTTTAACACCCTGGCCTGAAGCACTGGCATCCCATATGGGCACCAGTTCTAGTCCTGGCTGCTCCTCTTCCAATCCAGCTCTCTGCTATGGCCTGAAATAGCAGTGGAGGATGCCACAAGTGCTTGGGCCCCTGCACCCACATGGGAGACCCAGAAGAAGCTCCTGATTTGGATTGGCGCAGCTCCAGCCATTACAGCCATCTGGGGAGTGAACCGGCGATGGAAGACCTCTCTCTCTGTCTCTACCTCTCTCTGTAACTCTGTCTTTCAAATAAATAAAATAAATCTTAAAAAAAAAAAAAACACTTAAAGCCTATCAATAGGCAAATAGATAAATACTAAGCAATCCAAAAAACACTACAAAACCGTTAAAAATGACAGAAAAACAAATTGGACCTGTATGTCCTAATTTGGAGAGATTTCGCATGATATACTGTGTGCCATGGGTAAGTGAAAAATAGGAGACTTTCTATAAAACACAGAATACGAGTCCCTTTTTATAAGTATACATATACACACAACCCTATAAATGAACAGAGGCTGGAGCAGCACTCGCCAAATACTGACAGCAGTTACTTCTGGGGAAGGAAGTACGTACATTGGGGTACTGCGGAATGGTGAAGAGAGACTCTTGTTTGGTTCTGAATCTTACCACATTAAAAAAAAAAAAAGACAAAAAAACACACAATAAGACTGCATTTATGTGACAATTTTTAAATAATTTTCAAAAGTTGGGGCCAGTGCTGTGGCGTAGCAGGTAAAGCTGTCGCCTGCAGTGCCAGCATACCATATGGGTGCTGGTTTGAGTCCCAGTTGCTCCACTTCTGATCCAGCTCTCTGCTATGGCCTGGGAAAGCAGCAGAAGATAGCCCAAGTCCTTGGGCCCCTGCACCCATGTGGGAAGCTTGGCTCCTGGCTTTAGGTTGGCATAGCTCTGGCCATTGTGGCCAATTAGGGAGTGAATAAGTGGATGG